TTTATTATTATTTTTTAAATCATTTTATTGGGGGCTCGTACAACTCTTATCACAATCCATCCATCCATCCATTATGTCAAGCACATTTGTACATTTGTAGCCATCATCATTCTCAAAACATTTGCTTTCTACTTGAGCCCTTGATATCAGCTCCTCATTTTTCCCTCAGTTTATTTTTTAAAAATGTATTCTTGAACTTCATTTGTTATTTTATCGAGAAATTTTACGACTATAATCATAAGGGAATCTGGTCTGTAGGTCTATTTTACTGCATTGTTTTTGTCTGGTTCTAGTAGCCAAGTGATACTGGATTCCTCAAATGATTTCCCGCGCAATCTCTTTTCTGGGAAGGACTGCGTCGACTACATGTCTGGTAGGCCTGAGGATCTCTTTTACAGAAGGCTCCCTAAAACACAGCCTTCAATGTCAAAACTTAAAAAAAAAACCTCATCAAAGAAAAGTTCCATCCCTAACTATTGCACGAAGGTCCTTTACTCCTCCTGCCTAATTAATCCCTCCTTCTCTAGTTGTCATCAAGCTGTCCCCTCTGTCAGGTGGACTGGGATCAATAGGGTGCCTTTTACTATTTTTAAAGTAGTTCATCCCCAGTGCCTCTGGGTGGGCTCAACTCTCCCCTGTTAGTCAGCAACTGTGTTGCCATTTGCATCTCTCGGGGACTCCAGGTAACGGTTCCAGTGTTCTAGGGTAACCAGGTCTTCTACTCTCATCACTCCCCCAAAGCCCCGCCAACCACGTCTGAACGCTACCTATAAATGGCCTGCTTGTCTGCATCCATCGGCGTCTGAGATTCAACAGGGGGAGGGCTTACTCCTTCTGCATCAGGCTCAGAGCAGTTAGGATCTTGCTCAGTTTTTAATTCTGTTACTACTTGCATCTGTAAAAGGAAGAGGAGAATTCTTGTTACCAAACAGAAAACAAACTGCTAAGCATCCTATTTTCAAACACAAACGCAAGAGAAATGAGACCATGCTAGACAAGTGTGTGACTGGCAGCTGTCGAAAGAATGCTGCCCAACAAAACTCCTCTGAACTAAATATGCTCTTGAAATAAATAAATAAAGGATGTCGTCCAAAAGATAAATAAACAAATAAAATAGAGGTCCAATTTCTGACCCATTCAAAAACAGAGGTCACGGTTAGCTGTCAGATGCACAATTTCAGGGAGCTGCACATGTGCAGTCTTGCCCTGCCTCCTCTTGCTCTATGTCTTCTCAGTTCATTATGTTATAATGGGGGGGGGGGCCTAGCTTTTGGTATTCTTGTCACACACACAGGGCTGACATTCTCCCCCGTCGACTCTCAAACGTGAAGAACACACAGCTATAAAAAAGACTTAAAAAGCTCTACATTCAGAGAGGAAACGACAGCGTGTTTAAAGAAGCAGGACTGGCTGCAATAAGCACAGAAGCAGCCCTACAGATGTGGTCGTTTCGACTGCTCACCACAGGCATGCATGTGCTTGCCCCTGTGCTTTCACACCAGAGGGTGCTTGGGCTTACCAACAAAAAGGGGGGAAATGGACACAGACAACTTCCAGTCATCCTCACGCAGCAACACACCCACATGCACTCCTTCA